CTCTCTGTGTTTCTCTCTCTTTCTCTCTATCTCTCTCTCTTTCTCTGTCTCTCTCTCTCTCTCTCTGTCTCTCTTTCACACTCACCTACACACGCACGCACGCGAGCGCGCGCGCGCGCACACACACACACACACACACACACACACACACATATACACATACACACACACACACACACGCACACACACATATACACACACACGCACACACACACACACACACACACACGTTAATTGTGCCTATGAACTATATCCAATTCTCATATTGAGAGTCGGTTCTTTATAGCAAATTGAATACATTGTTGTCCCCTTAAACCGAACATGTTTAATCTGATAATAGCGATAAACCGGGAAAACAATAATCCTGGATTAATTTTCTTATATTTGAGGAACCTCTTTTTATTCAAAACCCGGGTAAAGCGAAGAACATTTGGTATTCTCACAGTTTTTCGGTTGAAACGAAGTTCACTAAAGTATCATATATAGAAGTGCTCTAAAGTATCATATATAGAAGTTCACTAAAGTATCATATATAGAAGTGCTCTAAAGTATCATATTATAGAAGTTCACTAAAGTATCATAATTATATATACCGCATAACGTAAAATTAGTATATCGGTGAGCCGGGCAGGGTATTATCCGAAAATGCCCGAAATATCTTGAATAAGTTTCGGCGAGCATTCACAATAACATAATAATATGATCTTACATTGTGTTTCGTATACACTGAACCAGCGACTGTGGTAAAGCGGTCAGGCACGTCCCTGTCGCACACAGGAGACCCAAGTTCGATTCACTACGTGTAGTTGGGGCAGAATTTTTATCGAGTATCTTGGTCTTTCTGCTAGGTTGTTGTTTCAGCCCCGGTTGGCTCTGACAGGCAGGGTCGGGGTGCTGGCTCCTACATGATCTATATTGTTGTGATAGAGGGTACCACAAAAAAAAACAACCCCCCCAAAAAAACACACCAAAAAAACACAACTAAAACAAAACCATACATTAACGAAACAAAATAGAAGAAAAGAAGGCAAAAAAAAATAAATTAAAAATAAAATAATAAAAAAAAAAAAATAAATAAACAACAACAACAACAACAACAACAACA